GAGAGAGAGAGAGAGAGAGAGAGAGAGAGAGAGAGAGAGAGAGAGAGAGAGAGAGAGAGAGAGAGAGAGTACTACACATATTCAACCGTAGGGTTGGTTTCCATTTGTTTTCTTTTATATTAAACACAGAGAGAGTTCCTCGCACATTATTTTATGTCTGTGGGCCCCAGCTCCACAACTTGAGATGTGAAGTTTCAAATTCAGTAGTTGACACCCGAATTGCTTTGCATTAAAAAAAGAACCAATTGTCATGGGGAATCTTTTAATACATGTGCATGAATCAGTCGTGGAATTCGGATTGAGGGACGCGATGTAACCATACCAACGTTTGGGGACAAATTCTCTATTACAGTTGTGGAGGCTTTGTCTTCATTATGTACTGGTCCAAACTACAAACTATTTATTGAGAGGAGAGAGAGCGGTAGAGAGTTTGAAATGCATACTGGACACGGGAAATTGGCATTGGAAATTCAACATGAACATTTATCAATGTCTTCAATTGTCTTGTTGTCCATTTTATTAGTTTTTTGGATGACATGTCATTTTCCATTTTCGCTCTCTCATCTTTCAAACTAAAAAAACTAGTTTTTCGATGTTGTGCTCAAAATTTTACAAAATGGAGAAAAACAATTATCCACTTTTCATGAACTTGGTGTTTATTCCACCATAACCTGTAGCGAGCATTTTGGTTTCCCCCGCCTGTCAGAGCCCGCCCGTTTGTGGAGGGTGTTCCGAACTTGAAGGAATCCCACACAATAGGATTTTTTGGCTAGTAGGGGGCCTCTAAAACAGGGCTGACTGCCGAAGATGACTCTCATATGTCTGTAACATACTTGCGGCGCATCGATGCGCTGCACAATGAGGTGCGGTGCGCGGCGCGCCATGCGCCCCTCGGAGGTGCGCGCATCGATGCGCTATGCGCGCGCATAGGTGCGCAGTGCGCTGGTGCGTTGGGACGTGCGCATTTGCGTGCATGGCGCGTGCGGGTATGCGAGAATTTTTTTTTTTTTTTTTTTTTTCCTGCTGCATTGCAGCAGTACTGCAAAATACTCCATACGAGTCCACATTGACTCCACAATAATTATTATCATAGTATATTAAAATTATCAACAATAATGTAATATTGCATAACTTCTTTCTTCATGCGGAAATCAGGCTTAGTGGCAGCATGTGGAACTCACCTGTTAGCTAGGTTGTTTTATCGGACATCCGGGACCCCCCTGGCCGTCCGGGACGTCCGACCGGACGTCTGGTCGAACGTCCGACCAGA